TCTTGCTTTTCCGATTCTGACTTTGACATACTCGTCCGTCCCGCCTGTAGTTGAAACAGTGATTCCTAGATAAGTGAAGGAGGTTACTTCCTTTAAGTTTCTCCCGTTGACGGTGATTGGAGTTTGTTGTTGTTGTTGGTGGTGCGGTATTTCATCACCTCTGCCTTCTCTATATTCACCTGAAGTCCCGTCTTCGCTGCCTCTTCTATCAACTTGTTAGTTTTTGCCTGTAGATCTTCGAGTTTGTGTGACATTAAACACAGGTCATCGGCGAAATCCAAGTCTTCTAGGTTCTTTTCCGTCGTCCAGTGTATCCCCCTCTTCTCGCTGCCTACTGTTTGCTGCATGATCCAGTCCAGTTGACCACAATCAGGAATATCATGGGGGATAGTAGGCAACCTTGTTTCACTCCTATCTTCACTTCAAAATCATCACTGAGCTTCCCATTGTGAATTACTTGGCATGTGGCATGCGTCTTCATATAGTTGTTGAATGAGGCTGATGAAGGTTTGCGGTACTCCGTAGTAGTGAAGCAGTTTCCAAATTACTTCTCGGTCGACGCTGTCAAAGGCCTTCTCAAAGTCAATGGAGTTGAGGTAGAGAGCTGATTGCCATTCTATGCTCTGTTCTATGATGATGCGAAGCGTTGCAATTTGGTCTGCACATGATTTGTACTTCCTGAAACCAGCCAGCCTGTTCCGGTCGTAGTTTTGAATCTAGTGCATCCCTTAGTCTCTCCAGGATGATGCGGCTTAATATTTTGCTTGCTCTGGGTGGACAGGAGAGTGATTCCGCGCCAGTTCTTGCAATCACTGAGGTCTCCCTTCTTCGGCAGTTTGACAAGGTAACCCTTCTTCCAATCACTAGCCAGGTACCTTCTCTTCCTTCCGCACTTTCTGCAATAATGGTGTGAGCATGTCCGCTGTTGTCTCTGCGTCTGTTTTCAGTGCTTCTGGTGGAATTCTATCTGGTCCTGCTGCTTTCCCGCACTTCAGTAGCTTTATGGTGTTTAGGACTTCCATTTTCGTTGGAGGATTTATGTTCACTTGTAGTTCAGCGGCTGGGCTGAAGGTGGTATTTCTGGACGAAGTGCAGGTGGTGGTGGTGGTCGATTCAAAAGCTTCTTGAAGTGGTCGGCCTATTGTTTCCTTTGTTTCTCTTCTTTCGTAATTAAATTTCCTTCTTCATCTTTTATTGGTTTCATCTGTGTCGATCTCTTCCTAGATAGCAACCTGGTTATTTGATACAATGTCGTCAGGTCTCTGTCTCTCTTACCTGCAGCCTGTTCTGCTTCACTTGCCAGTGTTTCGTAGAAGTGTCTTTTGTCTTTGCGTGCACCCTTCTTTACTTCTTTGTCCAGTGTTTTATACATTGTGCTCAGTTCCTCTTGTCGTTGAGCATCCTTGCACTGGTTTATCTTCTGTTTCACCATCCTTCTCTCCTCTATCAGCTTCCAGGTATCTGTCGAGATCCATTCCTTGTCTTCTTTCTTCTTCCTTCCTAATACTGTTGTGCAGGTTTCTTTCCGCATAGCTTTCAAAGAGTTCCAGTGTTCTTCCACACAGGTTTCTTCAGGGATGTTGCTCGATATCTCCCATTTTGTCTTGATGGCTGGCTGCAGTGAAGATTTCCTTTGTAGTTTCATCCTTCAGTTTCCGAGTGTTATACTTGAATTGAGGTCTATCACCAGCTTCCTTGAAGGATTTTAACTTGATTTGGAAAGTTCTTTGCACTAGATGGTGAGTGGTGTGAACCTACATCTGCTCCTCTTCTTGACCTTGTGTTAAGTAGACTGCGTCTCCATTTTCTTGAGATTGAGACAAAGTCGATTTGATTTTCAGTGTGTCCAACTGGTGAAATCCATGTCGCTTTGTGGATATCTTTGTGCCTGAACACACTGCCTCCAATCACCAAATCGTTGAATGCGCAGAATTCTGCAAACAATTCTCCATTCTCGTTCATCACCTCACCGAGTGCTTCTCGACCCATGGTTAGTTCTCTTCCTGCGTTTTCCACTCCCAGTTTGACATTCATGTCGCCCATTAGAATTTTGATATCGCCAACTGGCGTCTTGTCCAGTGTTGATTGAAGTTGTCTGTAGAATTCCTCCTCCTTCTCTTGCTCTGCATTATTTGTAGGTGCATAGCGTAGCTCTGTATGATTGTGACCTTCCTTCCTTCCTTTTGAGTTGAATCTTGCTGTCATGATCCTGCAGGAGGAGATGGGTTCCCATTGCATGAGAGCTTTCAATGCTCTTGGGGACATCATGATAGCCACTCCAACACCCAGTGTGCTCGTGGTTGTCGTCTGGGTGACAATATGGGAGTAGATTATTGATTCTCCAGTTGACAGTTTGGAGACTCCACTCCCATTCCATCTGCTTTCGCAAATTCCAAGCACTTCAGTGTGATACCTTCTCATCTCCTTTGCAATCTTGGCTGCCTTACTGGGTTCAAACATCGTGCGGACATTCCATGTCCCTACGTTTACTTTCGCTTTCATCGACAGAGGAGAAGAAACATCGGCCGGTTGGCTTCCCGAAGGCTTTCACCAACTGGCGTCATTTCGCCTCTCCGATTCCAGCGAGGAATAAGTTTGTTTTCATTTTTTATATTTTGTTTGTGCTTTGAAGTTTCTTTGGCGGTTAGATTTGTTTCCCGGGGTAGGGCTGCCTGGCCTATGCCCAACCTTCCCTGTTTACCCAGGCTTAGGACCGGCTAGTAACTAGTGAACTAGTTAACCAGTTATCGAGTAACCAGTATGAAACCATTGAAGCCAATTATTCAACAACTTATGGTCAGTTAGGTTAGCAAACAAAGTATACTCACTGATAATAACAATAATAATAACAATTCACTTTATTCCAAACAATTTGCGGTACAATTTGGAATTCTTAGCGTAACATACATTACAATAACAACAAAATATAAGTATATACATACTACTTTGCAGCCTTTCGAATTGTTTTATTATAAAAATTTAAGTTATGTGAAGAATATTAAAAACGAGAAAATTTCGCATTGTAAGTTAAATCATTAAAATGAGATTTTTAACTGTCACAAAGTTGATGTGTGATTTCTGTTCTAACACCGTTTTCCTCACAAAATATGCGTGCAGGGTGAGGTACAGTTGAATTCTTATACTTGGCTGTACGAGCATACAGTCTTATGTAGTTTCTCCTTGTCCTCCATGAGAAGATACATCGAGAGAGCTGTAAATGAAGTGGATGCTCACCGTCAGTTTAAATTTCTGTAGCTAGTAGCTTGCAGCAACTTATATGTCGATCAACTACAGTGTTAATCGGTTGAGCCAAAGACACACCACTCACCCTGCTGACGGCCTACAAAGCCCCACGCAACATAACATAGTCCTTTTTAAGAAGACCAGGAAAGATTAATGAGGAACAGTATAGAAGAATAGGTAAAGTGCAGGAATTAATAAATTGTAAACGAAGCAGTTGAGTTATACCACAGAACCTCAATTTCTTTACGTAATAAGTTAAGCGACAGATTTTCTACAGGTCAATAAAATATGAGACGACCAACGAAGGTCAGAAGTAAAACGCAACCCAAGATAGTTCACACTCGATTTACTTTCTGCGGAAGTACCATCGATGAAGCAGACATCATGAGATTTAAGCAGCTCACATAAGTCTTGTTTACGTCTGAGGCTAAAATTAACGGTCTGACATTTGGAGGGGTTTAGGTTGAGACCATTTGAGAGAGACCATTCACCAACTTCAGACAAGAATTCATTTAATTTCAGGCAATCCGAAGGAGAGTTTATTAGAATAGAAATCGTCAGGTCGTCAGCTTACTTGGCCAAATTGGTTTCAGCAGAATAAGACAAATCGTGCAAAAAAAACAGAAAAGGAGAAAGTACAGCTCCTTGAGGCACACCAGCTTCAGTAAGCAATGAAGTGGGGCGCATCTCTTCATCAATAGTGTACTGTTTCATTTCAAAAAAATAAGAATGCAGCCATCTTGTAACCCATGGCTCAGTGTGAGCTGCTGCGAGCTTATTTGACAAAAGTGGTCTAGGAACAGAGTCAAAGGCTGATGAGTAATCCAAAAAGCACAACGGACATACTTAGCACCTTTATCGAGACTAGAAACAGTATTATGATGCAAGACAGTAGCTGCATCCAAAGCACTCCACCGGTGTTTGTAAGCAAACTGTTTTGGATCTCTGAAGGTCGTCAATGAAGGTTCAGTCGCAAGCAGAAGTAATTTCTCTATTGTCTTCCGAAAAGGGGGAAGTTATAGTGACGGGTCGAAAAGTAACATCTGATCCAGAAGATGGCTTAGGCATAGGTACAATTTCTATCCGCTTCCAAGGAGTGGGTATTATGCTTTTAGAGAATGATACGTTGAAGATATCTGTAAGCGGATAACATAAAATATCTGCACATTTTCTGAATACGATACCAGGAACACCATCAGGACCTAATCTTTGGGAGGGATTCAAAGACTTCAGACATTTGAACACATCAGAGTCGAATACTGTCTCCTGACTCGGAGAATTCTCGACTAACTTACTTGAAGGTTCGGCAAAGATTGAAGCTCTCTCCCGCAGTACCAGCGGATGGATCTTATCTGGTCCCGGAGAGGTGTCTTCGGTGAGCTATAGTAGTTTACGCTGTACTTACTAGCTCAACGCCTAGGTCGATGGCTGAGTCCTACTTCCTTAGTGGGATATTCGTAAGCTTCCGAGTGAGCGGACAATGACGGACAGATTTGCAGGCAGTGGTTGTCCCAAAGCTCAACTGCTTCATTGTTGTTACTGGTCATAACTAGTCGTTACTAGTCGGTTGCACCTTGTAGTTAAGAGACTCCCGCTTTAGCCTGCCGGAACTAATAGGTGTAGCAGGAAAGACTTCCGATGAGTTACAACTGAACTCTCTTTCCGGTTCAACCGATACTTCAGGTTCTTTTGATATTTCGCAAAATCTGCTGCGTCTTGTTTATACAAATCAGCAGTCTTTTTTTCTAGGCCGAGCTGAGATGTCTGATGGTTAGCGGTTAGTTCGTATGGCATTGGACCTTGAATACTTTGGCTTATCTAATCGTACTTGGAGTTGTTTACCTTATCACATAGTAAGACATATATACAGTTATTTGGGCAATGAAAGCATCAAAGTATCTGCCGTATGTAGGCATTGGCGTGATGTTGCATACACCTGTAGAACTTTATGGGGAAAACTACGCGTACGACCTTCCAGTTTTCCCAACTTTGAAGCTTTCAAGAATCCAATCTTGCCTTTGCAGATATGCTCGGAAATACAACTCGAATTTGATCCCACAAATGAGTTACACGCAGGTGTTTTGGAAGCCACCTTGAATTCTCTGTGTTCAAACATCAGGATACATTCCATATCACTACGACCTATTATGTGTGCGCCATACGATAAATATGCAGCATATAAATTGGACACATCTTTCAGCAGGTAAGAATCATATACTGTGTTTCTCGGGCTCATTGTTAAGTTAAAGTTTCCGTAATAAGTGACTCGTCCGATTGCCTTAGGTTTTGACTTGCATACAGTGGTTCTGGTTTTTGCCTTCCGTGCCGTCTCTCTGGCTCAAACTAACAAAAATGGAAAAGTAAAGTAGCTGGATGTGAAGGTTGTGAGGCAGTTTATTATAATGGGTACTTCGACTAAAACGCCTTAGAAGGCTTGAGTGCATCAAGTAGGTGTAATATATTTAATATTTCGGAAGCTTCAGTACATATTTAAAACACTTCAAATCAGCAAGTAATCACATTAATTTCAGCGATTCATTATATGAAAAGCAAACTGAATTACTGAAGTTAATGTGATTATTTGCTGATATGAAATATTTGTAATATGTATCGAAGCTTCCAAAATATTGAATATATATTGCACCTACTCAATGAGTTGATGCTTCCTTAAACGTTTTAGTCTAAGTATACATCATAATGGATTGCCTCGTAATTCCCCTATCTGTCTACTTTACTTCCCCATTTTTGTTAGTTTGGGGTGTATAATAAGTCCACATAATGACTGTAGCTCACAGCATATTTCTTAACAAACGGACTGGGGTGTTCGCAATCTACTCAGATTTATCGCTCTTTCAGTCTGTAGGGAACTCATTCCGATATCAAAATGTTAATTTGAAGGCGTACAGTTGAGATGTGGACTTGTGGCGCCTTAAACGGTTGTACAGCGATGACGGGTCCTATATTAACCTTAATTGAAATAAGGGGTAAATAAGTGCGATCAATGAAACATATTCTCACACCTTAAGTTACATGTTTAGTGTGGTTGCCGCTTTTTGGTTTCGCATCTGATAAAGTGTCTAATCATTAAATTGATTCGAGATGCTTTGCACCAGACAGGAGAAAGATTTATTAGACAATTATGACCACATCCAGTCAACTGATGAGATTTTTATTTGTCCATCTCCGTTGGTCAGTGTTTCAGATGCCAGCGACTCTGTGAAATGCTGACATAACATAGGACGTACTATGGCTGTACTAGTTGAACTTCATACGCTTCATCTTAAATCTAACTGAAAGCCGGCAAAAGGGCAGTGAATTTTAAGTCTAACTTAGTAACTAGCTAAATAACCAACTGAATTTTTGAAATTTACACAAAGACTGATTTTGTGCACGAAATAGAGGGATTCAGTCGGTTGTTTCAGTAGTTGCTGGAATGGATTTGAAACATTTAGAAAAGGAAGATGAGAAAGTGAAAGTAGCAGTGTTGTTTCAGGTAAACAGGCATGAAGTGTAGAGAAATGGAACTAGAAATAAGGGTGTGTGATAGTGTGTTTTTAAGAAATTGGATCATGATTATATGTATCAAAGTATTGAATGCTCTTAGTTATCACCTAAAGTCTCCAACCGTCTTTATTTTACGCCTCAGAGAACTGGATCAAGTTCTCAATAATTTGCACGACACAGACAGATTTCATGGTGCGGTTCTATTCTTTATCGGTCAGTCAAAATTGTAAATGGGAGTTAAAGCAGGATTAGGTTACAAAAGCCGGGAGTCGCTGAAGCAGGATTCACTAACCTGTGGTTTCAGTAAATATTAACATAACCATAGCTAGGGAGTATGAGCTACGAGATCATGTTCAGCAAGGTAATCAAAAATGAATGACGACTGTAGGTTTTATGCCAAAATATCCATTACGACAATAAATAATGTGGTGCTGTGGGATGAAGCATAATAGCGTTGGGCTAGCATGTTTAGGTTTCCTAGATCACGTCTGAGAGATCAAACAATTCTGACTTGAAGTAATGCCAGAAATCGATCAGAATCGAAACCAGTGGTGATCATGATGCAGTTTACTTGCCTGCATTATCGAGAAGTAAAAAAGCTATTGCCATCTTCTTAGTATGCCTGTCCGAGACTTTTCTAAAAACTTGTGCCTTTTTTCCGTTTTCTTTCCGAATTTATGTCTTAATTTTGCTGTATTAGTTTGTATAGTGCATCTCTTTGTGCGGATGTTACAGCAAGTCTGTTACAAATGATACATCCAAAATTTATCTTTCCACGAAGCCTGAACACACCTGTGTGTTGTCACTGTTTATCCTAATGCTGTTTTACTGCTGATAGCTTTTCATTTTTATGTCAGGAAGTATAGTCAGATGAACTAGTATACCATTGTTGAACTTTTTACATGTTTTCGTGATTACTACATTCTTGAAAACAATAATTGTATTGCATGTTTTGTAAAACGGGGTGCTAGCCATATGTATAGTTCTGGCTTATTATAGAAAGTGCACTTCACTGCCCTCTGAAGTAAAAACATGAGTTTATTTTTGAAATATAAAGCTTTGTTTGTCTACAGCGAACTATTCATCAGCTGGGTCTTTGTTAAAAAAACCCTAAGCTATAAGAGTAGTGTCAGTTAATCAGTCCTACTTAGTGGCGAAACGCGCAATGAAAATGAAATTAAGTGTATAAGAGGAAAAATAGCAGTGATTGAGTTATTTTTTGTTCTAATAGAAGGGAAAAGTGAAAACATCTTCGATTCGATGGTCTTGATTTTTATCTTAAATTAATTTCTCAGACTGTAAACGACAGTTAACTAATTGTTAATTTCTCGTACGATTGAGACCAGTGGTCAGTGACTTCGTAAGTCAGTAGTCATTTTTTGTTCTGTCTGCACCAAAACTGCCGTTATGTTCTCAATTTCGTTGGTGTTAGGTTAGACAGACACTGACCGCACTCCCAGAACCTACTTTAGTGATGGGATCATTTAAACTCTCAAGTGTGCTGACTCGAACACAGTTTTGCACATATATTTCTCCTGGAAAAATGTTTCATCCATCATTTTTCTTGAACACAATGTCTTCATTTCTCTGTCCTCAACGAAGATCCGTATTACACTATCTCACTTCAAATCCATATTTTCACTTGTTGTTTTGGACTATAGTGTTTCTTTTTAAGTGGGATAGTCTTTAATAGTTTGTTGGTTATGACTTTGTATCCTAACTGATTTATACTATTCGGTTTTGTTTTTACTGTAAACTCAGGATAATAACAGCCTTATGTGAAGTGATTGTGAACGCCAGGTGTTTAAAGTATTTTTATTGGGGTGGAAGTTTTTGTAATAACAACGAAGTCAACTACGTGTTGCAATTATTGACAACAAATCAGAAGCATAATTTATTATCATTACAAATTATCAGATTACTTCAGATGAATCAATCCATGGCATATTGCGATTCAAAACTATTTCTATTTTACAACCTCAGCCAATTTTCTACTAACTACCTAGATCTTTCGGAGGATATACTTTTAGTTTTAACAAGAAATTCAAATCAACTTCGCATTTTAAAACTTTTTGTACAAAGCAGTGTTCAAGATCTTCCTTTAATTCGGTAAGTGGATCTATGTATTTGATGAATTAAAGTTGTTTACTACTGATTTATGGCTAAGGTAGTTATTGATTGTATATTTCATAGTAGTTAGTAGTAATGAGCTTCAAGACGCACTCTTCGCCCTATTTTGAAGTGGGCAATTGAATCTTTTTCCATCTCAAATGATGTTATCGTTACCTTTTAACTCAGAATCTAATATTCATTATTTTAAAGCACATTAGGCTACTGAGTTACAGCATCCACATCTTGTTTTATGTGAATCATTTTGTCATTGAAACTGATCGTTAATATACAGGACTGGGTTGACCAAACCATTTTTGGAATGTAGGTTTTGTGTGTGGGTGCTTCGATACTACTGGTGACCGAATATTGGTTATTCACGTGATAGTAACTGTTACTGAAATCTCTGATGCATATTTTGTCCTACTTAAAATTTGTTAACCAAATGTACCTGTTTCTCAACATTAAGTGAATTGGCAAATTTTAGATACTGTATTGCAGACTTAAGAAAATAATGCTTTGGTTTTGGCAGTGCTTATCAGGTCACAAATTCAGTGGGGACACCAATGCTCATTAGTGTGCAAATGTACCCTAGATATAACTGGAAACGCATCATGAATTCTACCGGTAACCAGACTTGACTACATACAGTGTTTAGATATCCGTACAAATAGTTCAAATCCCAAGGAAGAAATTGTAGTCACTGAAAATGTAAATGCCTAGTGGTAATGTTTTGCAGGATTTTGTCAAAAAGGTTATAAATATGTACGAACCTGTATGACGGTATTGAAAATGTTTCTCACGTCTCATTACTGACTTCGTTGACCTTACATATCATGGGTTGTCAAAGGGCGTTAGAAGAATGGAAATAACGAATACTGTGTAAAGTGTCTCAAATTTTTTATCATCTTGTTTTAAATTTCGACTATCACCTTAAACTCACTATTCTTTCTGGTTCATATACTTTTAGTTGTCAAGTGGCATATCCATCTCGACTTTCTGGTTATAATTAAGTCAAATTCAAACATACTTATCCTACCCTGTAGGCAATCAATTAGCATCCCCATAACTGGCAACCCATTTCGTGAATCTTTTCTAAGTGAATAGTTTTTCCACTTACTAGAACGCTGTTACTTAGTATTCTAACTTGAAAAGTTTCTGTTGTACCAATTAGAACCTCATGTGATAATATTATGAACAAAAACAGTTGAAATGCCCTCAGCAACCTTGTACACGAACGTGCACAAGGCAATAAGCCACATTCACTGCATGAAAGCTGTTGATACTACCTGGTTGCCCAGAACTTGGCAGGTGGAGCAGGGTTCGAACCCCCTGACCCACTGGGTGAAAACCAACTACCTAAACCAATGAGCAACAGGACGTAGGTAATTCAATAAGTTATTGAACAAGCTTTTACCTAAGTAGTTCGCCCCTACCAAAATTAAGGATATTATTGCAAACCTAAAAGTGTGAATGATCTAAAACACTGATCATTCCATTTTATAAGGAAGGAAATGAATTCACCGGTGATACGGTAATCAACCTGAATAGCATTTCACCCACGATCCTATGATCTTGAATTATTTGACACTTAACCTGAGCTGGGAAATAGTAAACTCGAAAAACACGGATAAAGTTCCAGACCTTGCAAGCGATATATCAGTCACATCCTTAATCCCTACCCCATATCTTAAAGCATAGCCATGCACACCTAATACTTGTTTCATTTCTTGACCAAAAAATGGTACCTAACTAAGAAAAAAGGATGCCCAGCAAGTACACTGTGCTACCCAAGGTCCTGTACTATAGGTGTGTGGTGATCTACTTATAGCTGCTTTCTGAATTGAAAATTGTAAGTAATATCCTCCAGGAACGCCGAAAACCACTATTTTTATCCAAACCTTCTGTGAACATATCGATGGAGATGACCACCAATTTTACCTTCTATGTTTAACGCAGTATTTAGATTCTTTAGTTGTTAGTTGAGGAAATAAGTTGCAGGTTCGTTTAAATTTGACTCATCATCATCATTACCAACAGAGGACCAGGTATTACTGCGTAACGGTCCGAGTTGCCACACCTCATATCACTACATCAAGTAGGAAGGTAGTGAGGTGAAAGATGAAGATAAAAAAAACCAGTCAAAAGAAATACAGAGTACGAGAAGAAAGAAAAGAAGAACAAGAAAGTGGTGAGATTCGGTAAAGCATCGCTAAGATGAGGATAATGTGTGTATACATCTGCGCCACTGACTTCGGTTCTGAGCCATATCACCTAGGGTCTCCAACCACTGGTTCCTCTTGTCCCGTGGACCCCAACCACCTAGTCTGCATCGTCCTACATGGCTTAAACCAACAGTCAGAGACTTCATACATTGGTGCCATGTTTTAGTCTGGCCACCTCGGGCCTTTTTCCAGCCTGGACCCACCTCAGCCAACATTGTGTGACGAGGCAATCGGTGACTAGGCATACGTAGTACGTGTCCCAACCATCTCAGTCGATGAAGGTTCACAACCTCGTCGACTGACTTACCTCTTCTCCCTAAAACTCTACACCTAACTTCTGCATTACTCACATGGTGACACCACGGAATACGTCCTATACTACGAAGGCAACGGTGGTCAAACACCTGAAACCTTCTCATGTCTTCCACTTTCAATGGCCATGTTTCACAGCCATACAGTAGAACAGAGCGGACTGCTGTGCAGTACACGCGACCCTTAATAGACAAACGAATATCACGGCGGCGCCATAGGTGGCGCAAATTGGCAAAAGCCAATCGAGCCTTTTGTATCCGTGCAGAAATCTCATCGGCAACTAACCCACCGGGTTGATCCTACTTCCCAGGTAAGTGAAGTGGTCAACACACTCAACCACTTCACTCTCTATTGTTAACCGCGGTACCGCTGAAGACCAGTCCTGGAGCAAAAATTTGCATTTGGGTGGTGAAAATCGCATCCCAAACATTCTCAAATTCCCACTCAAAGTGTTCAGAAGACTCTGCATCTTGTCAGCGTCTTCACCTAACAGGACTATGTCATCTGCATATTCTAGATCTAAGGAAAATTCACCTGTGATTCGGTCAACGTCTTTGTAATTAGGTGACGAGAGGGAAACCTCCATAAGAATATCTATGATAAAATTAAATAAGAATGGGGATAGTGGGCATCCTTGACGGACACCACTTGATGAGTATAGCTCCCTGGACAACTCACCATAGGCTCTAACATGCCCACAAGTGTTCGAGTAGAGAGCTTTCAATAAGGTGATGTACTTACTAGGCACGCCTTTCAGTGACAGACACTGCCATAAGACTTCTCGATCAACGGAGTCAAATGCCGCCTTCAGGTCGAGAAATACAGCTATTGTCGGGCGTCTGTAAGCATGCCTATGTTCCAGGACCTGGCGCAGTGTGAATATTTGGTCGATACATCCACGGCCAGGTCTAAAGCCTGCCTGGTTTTCTCGGGCTTGCTGTTCCCGAGCTCCACTCAGGCGTCGGAGAATTATAGAACTTAGGATCTTAGACACTATGTTTGTCAGGCTGATTCCTCTGTGGTTATCACAAGAGGACTTCTCGCCTTTCTTGAAGACTGGGATGATCAGTGACTTAGACCAGTCGGAGGGGATCGTATTTGATTCCCATATACTGGCTAACACTTCCGTTAGCCTGACTAAGAGAACTCTACCACCATTCTTGTATACCTCAGCAGGTAGTCCGTCTGGTCCTGCTGCCCTTCCCGTTTCAGGCTACCTACCGCTTTCTCAACTTCTTCTAGTGTTGGGGGACCTGTCTCTATGTCCCATTCAGGGTCCGACTGGATAGCGGGCAGCGCAATCGTGGCTGGAGGCCAGTTAAACTGTTCCTCGAAGTGTTCTGCCCATCGTTCCAGTCGCCTTCCCTGCGAGTGAATCGCAGATCCGTCCTTCTCCGCTATAACCTCACTAACTGTTGTTGACCATTTCCCCCCAGTCTCCTTAATAAGTCTAAATAACTGTCTACTGTTACCGATCGCCGCTGCCTTTTCCATCTCTTTAGCCTTCGCTGCCCACCACTGTTCACGATCGTTGCGCAGACTTTTCGTCAGTCTATTTTTAAGTTGCGCTCGCTCTTCATTGTACTCAGAGCCTGCAGGGATGCATTCACGTGCATCCATTAGTTTGGAAGAAGCTGCTGATATCCACTGGCTCTTTTTAGCCATTATCTTGGAGTCGGCTACAGTCTCCAGTGCTGCTTTTACAGTAGACTGAAGATGGCACCAAGCTTCTTCTGGATGAGTGACAGTCTTTTGTTCCGATAACTGCCTAGCCAACTTCTCACTGAACACGGCTTTGGTGTTTTGGTTGTTGCCAAATGTTTCTTATTTCCATTGAGACGCAGGCATATACGTGCTCGGACCAACGCATGATCGCTGTCCAAACACGTACTCCAGAAGGAGCGGCAGTCTTCCACCGATCCTCTCCAGCGATGACTAATAGCAATGTGGTCTATCTGTGTCCATCGCTGAGTTGAGCTCGGTAGACACCATGTCTGAAATTTGTGCTGGCTAAAAATAGGCGGTTATCTGAGCATAGTTGTAATAGGCGATCACCGTTATCTGTACGTTCAGCTGGGATTCCGAAAGTGCCACCTAAGTGCCTTTCTGCCTCACTCAGTCTACCCACCTGTGCGTTGAGGTCACCTGCAACAACCACTACGTCCGAACGTTTGGCTTTCGAGAGGAGGTTAGACAGTTTATGGTAGAACTCGTCCTTCACTTCATCCGAACTACAGTCAGTGGGTGCGTAAGCAGAGATTACAAAGAGACAACGGCGAGTCTCACTATTCCTTTTAGTTCTCACTGTGCCGTTCAGCCTCATAGCGCAGAGGCGACTATCAACTGGGATCCAGTCTAGTAGTGAGTTTTCTGCCCTGGTGCTTAATGCTATACCTACACCTGCAAGACCACGAGAGCTAGCTATCGAATCTCCAGAAACTCGAAGGGTGAATTTTGCAGATT